TCAAATTTGGGTCATGAATGTGCACGCAAAGTTTCGATACATTGATGCATTTTGGAAAGGCTGTACAAGAATTGTTGCAACTTTTGAGTTGGGTCAATTTGACCCACACTCAATATTCAAACTGCTTGAAATGCTGGTTAAACTATTAATTTCTTCTTGACATTTGGTGTATATTTTCTATTTAGGGTCATGAATGTGCATGCAAAGTTTTGAGACATTTATGTGTTTTGAAAAGGTTGTGCAAAAACTTGTTACAACTTTTGTTTTGGGGTCAAACAGACCCCCGAATGGTTTTCATGCAATTAGCCAAAAATCAACACTTCGAAAAACACTAAATAGTGTAAAGAAGAGAAAACATTTTTTGTAGCTTGTCAAACACAAAAAATGAAATACATGAGAACTTATTAAATTTAGTTAAATAAAGACACAAATTTTACTCAAAATTTAGATAACTTCTGATTTATCCAAGGAAAATTAACTGTTTCTTTATCTAGTTGAGTTTCACAGTCAAAAAATCTGTTGTTTCTGTTTGTTAGTTTTTTGGATCTCAATTACTAGACTGTTGTAGCACTGAAAAGAAGTGTGAGAACCCTATTTTACCCTCACAGGGGTTTGGGGAAAAAACATAAAAGGGCAGAGGAAGTACAAATAGCAATAAATACGACTTACGTCAAGCACAAATATTGTAAGATACTATTTATACTTGTAGTTACTGGCAGCCCAGTGTACAAATAGTCACTACAAGTAGTCATGACAACAACAAAAAAATTGTGTCTGAGCAGTTAGTTTTAACATAACAATAAAATATGTGGGTTACATTAAAATATATGGGACAAACTGATCCCTAACATAACAGAAATAACACAAAAATAGAAGATAATTATTAAATATATTTGTCTCAGATAAGCTACAGTAGAGTTTTTCTGTTTTTACACAAATCTTTAGTGTTTTTCATAGTACTGATTTTTGTCAAATAGCGAGGAAACCAATGTGGGCCAATGACACAAAAGTTGTACCCAGTTTTAAAACACAACATGAGTGTTAAACAAAAAAAACAACAACCCCGTAAAACAAGACTGTACTCTCTTGAATGTAAGCTTCAAATTAATTATTTCAACAATTAACAAAAATCAATGTTCACTGAGCTTACGGGTGAACAACTGTATTTACAAATCAGCGGGAACAACTGAGTGAAACGAACAAGTTACTGACGACATTAGAGTGAACACATGCATGCATTTCAGCACATGCATTGATGCATAATTTATGCAGCACATGTTCATCACAACATTAAGATGTCAATGTTTCTGAGGGCAGCAGTTCATTGAAACAAATTATGCAAATGAGACTGCAGCTGCGAGACAGTGAAGCGGACGCTTCGTCCCTAATTAAAGGGAAAGCGGCACTCTTTCCAAAGGGAATCGGTTCTCATCATCCTCATGCCCGTTAATCAGGAATCACTCAAGACAATACACACTGATGAGAGCCCTCATATCTGTATTAAATCTGAGCGCTGATGAATCTGTCATTACATAGACACAAACACTGTTCGCTGATGAGAAAATGATAATTAAGTATTAGCTAATGAATGTATGCGCTCCAGAAATTAATAGCTCTGCGTGCAGTTCCATTCTGCAGTGGAATAATTGCTTCCTAATCTAATAATCACCTCCATCTCTCGAAGTGTCTGCAGCTGATGATCAGTTTTAATCGCTACGTCTCCACTCAGTCTCACAGCTGTCTTATGAAAACGTCACACTGCACTTAGAAACAGAAAAAGAAATCAATAAGAAATTAAATTTTTTTTTATTAAAGCCTTTTTGGACAATTTTTTTGCATTGTGACATGAAATGTAGCATTGCATCAGTTGCTCTGCAGTGAATGGGTGCCGTCAGAACGAGAGCTGATAAAAACATCACAAGTAATCCACAGCACTCCAGTCCATCAGTTAACATCTGGAGAAGACAAAAGCTGAAACAAACCCAGCATTAAGACATTTTGAACTAAAACACGAGTCCATAATCCATAATAACGCTTCCTCCAGTGAAAAAGTGCATCTGCTGTTGTCTCTCACATCAAAATCCAGCCACATATTTGTTTAGAGCTGTTTAAACGCTGCTTGATCTGTGCAGATTTCTCTCCTGATTCACACCAGAACACTTTTTCACTGGAGGAAGTAGTGCTGGGCAGTATGACCAAAAACGTATATCAAGGTATTTTTCAAAATTATACTGGTTTTACGGTTCATGACGGTATTTTTTTTTCATGCATGACCGGGTGTTAACCATATTTTCTACTGATTGAGAGGAAATACTGCAGTATACTGACTTAGAATGCCCTATTTTACTGTCATGATGAGTGAATATAGTCAAAAAATACCACACTAAATAGTGACTAAACACGACCTCTTTTAATACGTTAACCAGGAGACACTCTCATTTATAATCGCGGCATCGTCTGATAAAATCAACATGCATCTACACTAAAGAGCGGCTATGCGGTTGTCCCTCACCACAGTGCAACAGTGAAAAGAGACCCGTTTCAAACAGTGTCGCGTTCCGAACGTTGTTTAAGCGACATACACTGGTATTGCGGTATTTTAAAAATTCATATCATAACAAAAATAAACACCGGTATTCGGTATGATACCGCCTAGCACTAGGAGGATGCGTTATTATGGATTATGGACTCGTATTTTAGTTAAAAACGTCTTAATGCTGGGTTTGTTTCAGCTTTTGTCTTCTCCAGATGTTAACTGATGGACTGGAGTGCTGTGGATGACTTGTGGATTATTGTGAGGTTTTTATCAGCTCTCATTCTGACGGCACCCATTCACTACTGAGCAAGTGATGCAATGCTACATTTCTCCAAATCTGATGAAGAAACAAACTCATCTACATCTTGGATGGCCTGAGGGTGGGGACATTTTCATTTTTGGATGAACTTTTCTTTCAAATGGCATTCACAACTCATTTCCAGACCTGCCAAACGTGGAGTACCATCATTGTGACGGGAAGAGACACGGGGTTTGGGGGGAGCCAGTTCGGAGAGAAATAAATAATGACTGCTATACTGTCCTCGCTTAAGAAATCCGTCAGATGACAGGAGTGGAAGGGGGATCGAGCGAGATTTTGTGTTGCTGTCGATTTGCAGTCTCTTTTTTTTGCTATTTGGGGAATGAACTCAGCGCTCTGATTGGTCGAACTCTTCTTCTTTTGCTGTTGCTTGATTTGAGTACTGCGCATGGAGGGGCGTCACCAGGTTTTTGCGTAGTTTAGCGTGACAAATCGTACTTTGAGGTCAAAATGCGTACAGGTTGGCAGGTCTGCATTTCACTTCCAAAATTTGAAACCGGGTTTTTCTCTAAGAAAGCAAATGTAGGTCAGGACTTGATTTTATCCAGGAATGGGGAAACATGTTCTTGACAGGTTTCATGAGATTCAGGGTTTGAGCGCTTCGTTGCTCGAGTGGAGCTCACATGAATCTTTAACGCTGGCCAGTAATAAGGATCTCATCTTCTGCAGGGGAATGTGTCGCTCGTTTTCAGTGCCTCAACGGCTTCATTAACCACCGCAGAGCTCAGATTCAGATCCATATTTTAGCAGTTCTCTCGAACAACAAAGAGTTTAATAGATACGTGAACATATGAATGTGTGTAGTTGTAACTATACAACACATAACGTGTCCTGAAATAGAAGCACAAATAAAAAATAAACATGCATTTCCTTAGAACTGCGCCAGAGATGATTGTTATAGTACAACATACATTTTCAATGACTTGAAATAAATAATTAATGTTCAAGTGTCAGTACACTCTAAAAAATGCTGGGTTGTTTTAACCCAACTTTGGGTCAAATATGGACTAACCTAACTGTTGGGTTAAATTTTTCAATTACATTTTTAACCCAAAAATTGGGTTAGTCCATATTTGACCCAAAGTTGGGTTAAAACAACCCAGCATTTTTTAGAATGTATTAATCGTGAAACAGATCCAAAGAAACAAACACGTGTAGAAAACCGCTTGGAGATATTAGAGGAACCCGGGGCAAGTTGTCATTTATTTTACTTTGGTTAATATTTCTCATGGTGTTTATTTTTAAAATACTGTACAGTCCGCTAATCCCAATATCGGGGCATGTTGTCTCACTATATCGGGGTACGTTGACCATTTCTGCTGAATTTTAACGGTATAAACAATTATGAAACAATAAAAGTCAAAGTTACACGTACCAAACCATTGTTTTGGCTAATTAATCTACTAACTGAACGTGTGACAATTTGCCCCGAGCTGTCAATTATGAAGAAAAAAAAACCCGTCCCGAGCAGCTTCGGTTAATCTACCTTCGTAATATAATGCCTTAATGTATGTCAAATATATCATATTTAGAAATGACCAACATGCAAAACAAGTGCTAGAAAAAAAAAGTACTTTAATGCCCAAAGTTATTGAGAGACAGACCTTGTGACAACTAGCCCCGGAGCAGGTTTACTGAGGTAAAGTGTGAAGAACGAATGTGGAAAAATAACTTACTGTCATTCAGCAGGAGCTTCACGCGCATCTCGACAACTAAACGACAGAAAATTCGTTCATATTAATGGAGAACCAGAATAAAGATGCGACTGAAGCTGCAGATGATGCGCCCGATCTCCTCTCTGTTCCTCACAGGCGTGTGCCTCCTCCTCCCTCAGACACTCTTGCTCACTATTCATCTCATTTATATTCGTTTACTTTAACAGTAATTATCGCCATAAAATAAACTGAAAAAAGGCGTGTTAATAGCCATAACTCACGCGGCTTATTCTCCTCAAGACGCAACAAACGGCTGATAAAAACTAATAGCGCTTCTTTATTAGCACATATTGTCAGTTTAAATCAAAATAAACCGTTAAAATTTTGTTTGTTTCAAATGCATGATTGGATGAGCTGCAGTAAGAGCCGTTGATAAACGTACACGTGACGCACAATTTAAATTAACGCGCCAAATTGCTTTCCAACCGAATTAACGGTCACCAGAAGAGTACGCCTTTGAAAGACGGATAAAATAGCGTACAGATCGCTACACGGAAATATAAAGAGATAGAAAAGGGTCATATATTCCTACTTTATGTATAACTTTAATAACTGAAAAGATGTTAATGGGTTTTTTTTCAGGTATCAGAGAACAAGAGGATGAAGCATGTGCTGATGCAGGTGAGTTTTATGTAATTCAGAGACAAAACAGATTGAGAAGCTCAGGAAGATGAATACTTGAGTGAAGGACAAGAGAGTATTTCAACAAAAATACTAAGAAAGACTTTTTAGTAGAGAGGACAAAGTCAATCCACTGTTATTCTGTAAAACAGACAGCGTGATTCTGCCGCTCGGTCGTGATAAGACAGACACAAGTGAAGGAAAGACAGATTTCTTTAACGAGGGATAGAAATTAGAGACACATCTAGCTAAAAAAAAAAAAAAAGAAGTTAAGATTAGTTTGAGGAAGAGAAAAGGACTCAAGGACAGTCTATTCTGTACGAATTCGGAATTCTCTTTGATTAATCCCTGCTGAAATACTGTATAAAACACCCTAATTAAATGGTTTGCTGCAACAGACACCAAACTAGTTGAGATGGTTTAGATTCATGGTTTTGGACACTGGTCAGCTGGGTTAAACCTACGGTGGCCGAGAAGTGCAAAGCAAATCACAATTCTGAAAACAAAATAACAACAGTGTAAATTATAATTTTAATTACTAAATGGATGCCACCTTATTGGTACAATAAAGCCCTCCCTACACCTACCCTATACTTTATCTTTAACTTTTCAATTATTTCCTTCAATTAAACCAGCTAAGATCAGCAGTGAACACATGAGGTATGAAGCTTTTGAATTGTTAGATGAAAACAGAACAGAACTAGAAAAATATTAAAATCACACGAAAAATACCTTCTGAATACCTTCTAAAACTGAACTATTTTCCACTTTTATTCTGCAATTGCTTCAAACCAGAATTTCAAAATATTAATTTCATTTAAAGAAAAAAACAACAACAAAAACAAAAGACATCAAAATTGAGACACACATTAAAAACATGTAAACATCAAACATTAAAACTGCGAGAGTTCACCTATCATAAATTTCCTACAAATATAAGTATTTATATCAGGTGCTTTTTTTCATAAATATGGTTGGTTGAATATTCAAAAAGCTCAAAACCAAAGCAATATTGTTGTGATATTCTGTAGGCCACACCTAGAGATACTAAAACACTTCTGTCTTGAGCAAAGCAATGAGGGCGGCAAATGTAAATATGGATAATCTAATCAATAATTGACCATATATGTGAACATACATATTAAATGAGTATGTTCTGCATAAATCAGATCCAAAAGGGACCTCGGGTTCAGGTCTTTAGTAATTAATATTTAACAGCTTCATAAACAGCTTTTGGATTGCTGGTAAAGCAGGTCATGAATATGGATCAGTCTTTTATCTCGGGGTTGGTATCTGCCATTAGTCTGTTTTTCAACATCAAAACAAAGACTTGTGACGGATACAGGCAATGAAGTTTAACAACAGGAATGCAAATTCATCATTTACTCATTCGCGCATCCCTCCAAACCTGTATGACGGATCACAAAAAGATGTTTAACAGAACGGCAAAACAAAAATACTGTAAGTCATACAGGTTTTGAACAACATGAGGGCGAGTAAACGCTTAATTCGTAAGTCGAACTATTCCTCTAAGACGGCTAAGATCTGTTCAGGTCAAGGCTGAGATTGATGGCTGTGTTCTCAGAGCAAAATGACTTAAAGGGATAGTTCACCCAAAAATGAAAATGTGATGTTTATCTGCTTATCCCCAGGGCATCGAAGATGTAGGTGACTTTGTTTCTTCAGTAGAACACAAATTATGATTTTTAAGTCCAGCCGTTGCAGTCTATCAGTCGTATAATGCATGGCAATGGTAACAAAATCTATGAGAGTAAAAAAA